AGAGTGGTTATCGATACAAGAAGGATTAATACTGCTTTTTTTTTTTTTTTGCTCATTTTCCAGTTCTCCGGCATTTCCTTTTTTTCTTATCCTATGTATTTTGGACTACCAATTCAGTTAGATAGTTTTTTTATACTGGTTTTCTTAATTTTCTCCTTATTTATTATTTGTGTCTGTGTTCTACTTTTTTGTTTAGTGGTTACTATGAGGTTTGTATGCAAAATCTCATAGATAAGATACTCCATTTTCTGATGGCCTCTTATTTCCTTAGACTAAGCCAATTCAGTCCCTTTCTACTCCCCCTCCTAAGTTGTTTTTGTCACATCTTATTCCACCTTGTGTTGTGAGTTTGTGGTTAAAGTGACAAGATTATCTTTGCTTTTGGTGTTTTCCTTCCCTTTTTCTTTAATGTTTTACTTGAGTATTCGCTAACCTGTTCTGATGGATAACTACAATTTTCTGATTTTGTCTATCTATTTATCTTCTTATTCAGGGCTTTGTAACTCCTTTCTTCTTGTTTTCCAGGTATGAGGGGCTTCTTGAGGATTTCTTGGGGGGGGGGGCTTGTGGTGATAAACTCCCTTAGCTGTTGTGTATCTGGGAAAATTTTTATTTATCCATCATATCTGAAGGATATTTTCATGGGATAGTGTATTCTTGGCTGAGAGTTTTTGTCTTTCATAAATTTTAATATATCATTCCACTCTTTCCTAGGCTATAAGTTTTCTGCTGAGAAATCCACTGAAAGCCTGATAGAGGTTCCTTTGTAAGTTATTTTCTTCTGCCTTGCTGCCCTTCATATTTTTTCCTTGTCATTGACTTTTACCACCTTCACTACTATATGCCTTGCAGTAGGTCTTTTTACATTGATATAGTTAGGAGATCTGTTGGCTTCTTTCACTTGGATTTTCATCTCCTTCCCAAGGTTTGGAAAATTCTCTGCTATTATTTCTTTAAAAAGCTTTCTTCTCCATTCTCCTTCTCTTCTCCCTCTGGAATACCTATAATCCTTATGTTGTATTTCCTAATTGAGTCGGATATTTCTCGGAGACTTTCTTCATTTCTTTTTAGTCTTCGTTCTCTCTCCTCCTCCATCTGAAACATTTCTATATTTCTGTCTTCAATGTTGCTGACTCGTTCCTCTATGATATCAGCTCTATTGTTCAGTGAATCCATATTCTGCTTTATCTCACACATTGTGTTTTTCATTCCCCATATTTCTAATTGGTTCTTCCTTATAGTTTTAATCTCTCTTGTGAAGTAGCTCCTGAACTTGTTTAACTGTCTATCTGCATTCCCTTTTAACTCATTGAGTTTTTTAGTGATAGCTATTTTGAATTCTCAGTCATTTAGGTTACAGATTTCTGTGTCTTCAGGATTGACTTCTGGGTACTTGTCATTTTCCTTCTGGTCTGGAGATTTAATATATTTTTTCATACTGATAGATGGCATGGATTTGTGCTTTCACATTGTGGTAGCATTTGATTGCCACTTCCACCCGTTGCAACTGGATGGGGGTCAAGAGCTACATATTTTTAGCACACTGTGATCCATAGGACAGCTCCCAGGTGCTGGGCTGGGACACTGGATGGGGTGTGCTTTCTTTCTCCTGCGTGATCTCAGGGGCTTCTTGCTCTGCTCACACCATCTACTCTCCAGGGGTGTTGGCTTGATGCAGACACTCCCATGATAGTTAGTCACCTCTCTGGGGGGGCTTTCCCCAGTGCTGTAAGGGAACTTGATCTATGGTGTTCCCATGGAGGGCTGCTGCTCCCTCCCCTCTTTCTTCTTGGAGGCTGCTGGCTCCTGGGGTGCTGCCCTTGGGGGAGGAAGACAAGCTTTCTTTTACCTCATTCCACTTCCTCTGTTGGGGGGGTGTCTAGCACCTCCATCTTCTGACATATGGCTACGTGGGTCTCTCAGATGTCTTTTGTGTTGTGTGGGTGTCCTCTGTTGGGGTATGAATGTCCTTTTCATTGTATCTTAGAGGGGAGAGTTTAGAGGGAGAGCTAACTCTGCCATGATGCTGATGTCACTCTCTGGAAATTTTAAGATTCACCTTTCCCCCCTCAATTCTGTATCTTTGACCTCTCCCTCTTTACCAGATCCTTGCCTTTGGCTTTTCATAAATTTTAACTTTATTCACTAACTTTTGAACTAATTACACACAGCAAAATGGTACAGCCACTTTAGAAAATAATTCAGCAGTTTATTGTAAAAATAAACATACAATTATCATATAATTCAGCAATCCCACTCCTGGGTCTTTACCCAAGACAAAGGAGAACATGTAGACACAAAAACCTGCGTGTGAATGTTTATTGCAGCTCTCTATTCACAATCGTCAAAAACTAGAAATGATGCAAATGCCCTTTGGTGAACGGATAAAGAAACTGTGGTAGGTTCATATAGAAGGATACTGCTCAGCAATAAAAAGGAATGAATCGTTGAGACACACAACAATGTGGAGGAATCTGAAATGCATTTTGCCAAGGGAAAGAAGAGAGACTCAGAAAGGGATTTACTGTATGATTCCATTTACATGACATTTTCGAAAGGATGACATTATAAGGACAGAAAAAAGATCAACAATTGCCATCAGGAATTCTTTTGAAATTAGCTTCTTCCACTAAAAAAATGCTCACAAAAGGTTCTTTGGGATCTTACCCTCCCCTGCACACTACTGCTAATGTGACTCTGACTTTCATAGCAAATTTTATTAAAACAGTTTGTCTACACCCATCTTTTCCACTTCCTCTCTTTTCATTCACTCCTCAAGCAACCTCACGCTTGCTCCAGCATTGTCAAACTCACTGAGAATTTCTCTGTACTCATCTCTCTCATCCTTGCTCAGTAGCAGCCCCAAAGGGTTGACTATCCCCTCTTCACTCAGTTTAGGGAAGAGTCTTCCTGCCTAGACAGGGCAAAGGCAGACTCTACACTTGAGTCGGCTCTGTCACTGCCCCAGCATCTGCCACAGTTCATGCCACAGGCTAGGAATGAACCAGTAAACATTTCTGGAAAGGAGCTTTGGGACAGATAGCTAGAAAAGGTGGCACTATCCCAAGTTTTCAGAAAAACTCAGCAGCTCACCTACTTTGCACTTTATTATGTTTTCTCATAAAGACCTTTCTACCATGTATCCTCAACCATTGAAGAACAAGACAAAAATGAATTGTAATTGCACAAAAACTAACAAGAACCTCTTATTTATTTAAATTTTGCCCCTCTAAATACATTTCTCAGGAGGATGGATTTCTTTTATTGAACCTTGAAGGAGATGCCTTTTCCACCCTGGAATGGGTTCAGACTCTGGATTTATTGCATGTTCTGTGTATCTTCTTTGATTGATTGGTGCTGAAGAGCTGAGCAGCAACATTACTAATTATCCTCAGGATGTAATGCAGTTGAAGAGTCGTTAAGAACTCTCTCAATTTGGAAAGCAGCCACTGCCAAACAAAGGGATTCTTCTCCCCTCAACCAGAAGATGCACAGTCAGGTCTCTGGGGCCCTCTCTGACTCAACCCGGGCTTCATTTATGTTCAAGCAACTCCACTAACGCAGGGCATACCCCTAATTTCGCCCAGTGACAAAGATGAAGCAGAATTCTGCTGAAATGCCAACAGTTTATTTTTATCTTTTCTTTAGTAAGAACTTGGTAGGCTTTTGTTTCTTGTAGGGCATGGGGCTGCTATAGGGCAAGAAGATGGAATTAGCTTAATCATGAAGCAGTGCCAATGAGACTTGAGCGACTCAAATATTTTCCCCATCAACCTGTCTTTGATGCCTAAAATTCTCGTGTTGAGTATTTAGTAATTACCTTATGACATTAAGGAGTTGTGACCGAATAAAAAACTGAATGGGAGGGAAAACAGCATTGAACCTGATATACTAACTAGATCATACATGCAAAGTGCTCAGTACAGTGTCTGAAGGATAAAAAGGACTCATAAATAGTAGCTGTTATTTCTATTACTAATAATTGCTCAAGCATTTGCTAAGCCAATGTTTCTTGACCATCTACTTCGTGTCAGGATACCATGCTAGATGTTGATAAATTGCCAGAATCTCTGTCTCAAAAGGCTCCTGTGATCAGGGCAAGAAACCCCTCAGATAAACAATTAGACTTCACCCTCATAAGTGCTCTCTCTAATAGGACACTGAGTACCAGGTGGGAGCAGGAAGGAGCAGCCTGTGGGCTTGTGCGGACGGGACACTGTGCAGGAGAGACGGGTCAGGAGGAACATTTAGGGCGCTGCCAGGTGAGAATGAGGGGAAGGGTGTACTGGGCTAAGACTGCATGCAAAAGGCAAGATGACATGAAAAAAAGAAGGCAGGAAAACAGAGGAACAATAATGAGTTCAATGTGTTCAGAGCACAGATTTCATCAAGGGCTAGAGAAGAAAATGGGATTGGAAAAATATCCTAAAGGAGGAAGTGCTATGCCTGGTGAATGGACTTAACCCAGTAAGAAACATGGGTCCAAGTGCAGATTTCAAGCAAGAACACAATAAAATTTACTGTTTGGAAAGGCACATTCATTGATATCAAAGGACGAGGGTCAGCAAACTATGGCCTTTGGGCCAAATCCAGTCCCTTGTCTTTTTATTTTATGGCTCAGGAGCTAAGGATGAGTTTTGCATTTTCAGATGGTTAAAAAACAATCAAAATAAGAAGAATATTTTATAGCACATGAAAATTGTAGGAAATTTAAATTTTAGTGTCATAATTAAAGTTTTAGTGGAACATGGCCATGCTCATTTGTTTACGCCTTGTCTCTGGCCACTTTTGTGCTAAACAGCAGAGATCATCAAAAATATTTACTATCTACCCTGCACAGAAGATGTCTGCCAGCCCTGGGTTAAAGGATATAGCTTAGAGCAGAGAGAGAACAGAAGGCAGGGAAGCCAGCGTGAAGGGCAGAGGGAGAAGCTTCAGCCATGTTTCTCCAACCTGAGTCATGTACAAATCCCCCTCCGAAACTGCTCCAGGAGCTCTAGTGTCACTTGAATTACTTTTATTCAAACATAAATTAAATATTTACAAACAGACATCCTGGTAAAACTTCCTTATTCTTTTAGCTCTTACACAACTCTAAAACCAAAACAAACTTAAAAATTAAATACAAACAAAACTACGAGACCAGTCAATTTCATGTTAACGTCCTTAATTTAAGGTGAGGGACGATGTCTTTCGGCTGCAACCAGATGTCTGCGTCGAGGTCCCAGGCCAGCCCCAGATTCATCCGAGTGAGAGTGCAGGTGTCTGCTACCACGTCTGGGTGATGACAACGATCTCACAACCTTCTCTGGGTGCAAGCACTCCAGACACCTTCATTCACGTAGAATGGTGTTGGCAACATTTCTGTAAAGGGTCAGATGATAAACATTTTAGGCTTTGCAGGCCCCTGCTACAACCACTCAATTCTGCCATCATAGCTCAAAAGCCCTCACAGACAGTCCATAAACGGGCGGGCGCGGGTGTGCTCCAGTCAAACTTTACTGACAGAACAAGCAGTGGCCAGAATTAGCTCAGAGGCTCTGGGTCAACCTTTGTTCCAGGGCAAAGTGGAAAACTGGTGGGATTTCTGTTCAGCTGTGGACACACCCTCGACAGGCCAGGAGACCGCTGTGGAAGGAGGAGTCACTGCCACAGCCGCCCATCAGATGTATTCACAGCGACAGGCTGCAGGCTGGACTGGGGCCACAAGCCTGGACAGCAGACAGCGTCACAGCACTATCACCTCTTCACTTCACATCTGTATTCAAACCAGCTCACAGCAACAATGACCATCTTGCCACTTCCCTTGGCCCAGAATGGGGTTTCCACCCTCCGGCCCTCAACCTCAGGAGGCTCAGAGATGCCTGCAGGTCCTCACCACTTGTTCCTGCTGGGACATCCAGAAGGGCTGGGTAATTATGGACTTTGCACATTAGCCACCAGAGTCCAATGCATACTGACAGAGTCTGAGCGCCATGCCGTTATAGTTCTGAATCTCAAAACACAGTAAGAAAGGAAACTTGGCAACAGTCTTTTTAATTTGGTACCTTTTTACCCACACTGCGAGGCATTTGGGATCAGAGTTCTGATTCTCTTTATGAAGCTCTTCTATATACAGAATCACAGACTACCTTTAACTTGGAGCCTGACACTCTAGAGAATTTTATTATTATTATTACGCTTCAATTTTAGACAAAAAGCACATTTTGAAAGGAAAAAGGGCCAAGAAATGCTATAATTTGGATAAGAAACAATGTCTTTTATTAGAGTCTTTCTTGTAGGGGAGAAAACTTTGCCATACATGTCCCCATGCTGGCTAATCTTCTCTTCCCTAGACAGTCAATTCAGGGAAAAAAGAGGGATAACAGCCAATTCGGTGTGTGTGTGAAAACTCATCATCCTGGTGAACGGATGGATGGGTGGCTATTTACCAACCAGACGAGGAGGCTGAGTCCTCCAGTGAGGCTTCGGGTGTGTTCTCCTGGGTGTTCCTGGACAAACTGCACTCCATTGCTCACGACCATCCTTACACGGGCCAGGCTCTATGCCAGGCACTGGTCAACTAGAATGGAAGACAAGAGGGGCCTTGCCCTCAAGGAGATGGCACTGGAGTGGGCACCACCAGAGTCTTAGTTTTAGTTACGTGCTTACTGTGTGCCAAGCACCATGCCAAGCGCTATACACACAATTTCTCTGGGAATACTAATGACACCCCCATTGAAGAGACATGATCATCTTGTCTTTACAGATAAGGAAACTGAGACTCACAGAGGTTAAATGACCTGATGAAGGACAGACAGCCAGTCAGCGGCAGAAGCAGGTTTCGACCCTGTGTGGCCTAATCTCGGAGCTTCTGTACTTCCTCCTGCAGAAGCTGGACGCCTAAACAGACAATTCCACGACATCCATTATCCTACAACAGGGAGAGCCGAAGCAGGGGCTCTGGGAGCAGGGGACTTGTGAGGGTGGTGGGCTATTTAGAGTACTCTAGAACAAATTGATTAGGACACACGACTCATGAGTGGGACCTGAGCAAAGCCCAGCTTCTGAACCCAGTAGAGCACTTTGCTAAACATCCCACTTTAGAGCACTCGGGACTGTCTTGGAGGGAAATAAAACCACCAGCCAGGCTTTCCTCCCAGAGAGCCCCGTGGCTAACTGCCTCACCTCTTTCAAATCTGCTTTCAAACATCATCTTCACAAGGAGCTACTCAACCACCTTATTTAAGCTGCACCCTGCCTCCTCACCATCGCTCTGATTTCTTTCCCTGCCCTCCTATTTCTCTGTTGCACTGTTTTGACCTTCCAACCTATGGTACTATGTAACTTACTTATTCACTATGTTTACCGCTTATTCTTATTGTTTACTACTCGAATCCTTTCTTTAGAACATAACGTCAACGACAGGAGGAACTGGTGTCTGTTTTGTTCACCACCAGATCCCAAGTCCCTAGAAGAGTGCCGTGTATACAGCAGGTGCCAATAATATTTGTTAAATTAATAAACGAGTGAAGGAGTGTTGAAAAACAGACTGCGGATGTAAGACTGGGCTGAATGATTCTGGCAGCCCTTCCCAGCCCTGGCGTTCGGCTCCCACATACAGGAAAAGCATCCTTCCATTTGGGATTCAGGGGCACTGGAAGCAAGTTCTCACCCGTCTACATACACGACTGAGGTCTCACCGGGATTGTGCTTTCAAATGTGGATGAGACCTTCATGTTCAATAAATTCTCAACCTTGGTCTCCCGTGCTCGTCTTCATTCTAGTCCTGTGCTCTCGTGACATGGGCAGTCAAAGAAGTAAATTTAGTGCACACAGCAAATATTCCCCACATCCCAAAGGCAGGCAGAACAAATTCTGTGATCTGAGTTGGAAATATTTTTTATAAAATTCATGGGAGTGTCTTTAAGTTTGAATTAACGTAATTATAAAATTTAGAAGCATCCACTGTGCTTTTTGTAAGTTTTCTATAACAGATGTGTCAAATGTTTGGTTTTGAAAGGACTTCATAATTCAGTCACAATTTCCTCTGGGTTAATTACGGGAGTCTAAGGGTTGGTCGGGGGACAAGAGTAACACAGTTCTTGACATGCCATCTGAATGCAGGATGAATGCGGTCTGTAACAAAGGCTTCCTGTTTTCCTTTTTCTTATTATGTTGAGTAATATTCCCTTATCAGGGTGAGGAACACTCCACTTCTTTAAAGGTTGAAACTGAATTCCAATTCTGTCTGGAGCACATTTGGGTTTCTACCAGGCCCACTTTCTGTTTCAATCCCAGGGATGGGAGAGATGGAGGATACCACAATTTATTCCCGTGTGCTCAAATGTGATCAAACCTCGAGCTCTCACTTGACAGCTGATGTCAAAGAAATTTGGTGTCTTTTGTTTGCATATTAATTCTTTTTTTATGCATATCCTTCTAGGTTCCAAAGCCAGAAAATCTGCAGTTCATTCCTGATTATTCCCCCTGCCCTACCTACTTCCCTGGCTATCATTTTGTCCTCAAGTGCTATCAATTTACATCTAAATATTTCTTGAATCCATCCATTTCTGTCCATCCTCACTATGGCTGCCTTGATTACGGCTGCCACACTGTTCTACTGCTAAGGTCCAAAATCTTGAATGAGACCTGTAAATAGGGTGACCAATTCATCCAGGTTTGCCTGGGACTGTCCCAGTTTTAAATCTGAAAGTCTCACATGCCAGGACCCTCCCCCTAGTCCTGGCCAAACTGACACTGTTGGCACCCTCCCTGCAAGTCTTGGAAACTCTCTGCTTCCTCTGTTCACTGCAGCCCCACTCACCTTCTTCCAGTGACTTGGACTTTCCTACCTCAAGACCTTCACACGGGCTGGTTTTCTCCCTGGATTGCTTCTGCAGTCACTCTTTGCCTAGTTAACTCATCCTCCTCTCCCAGATGCTGGCTGAAACGCCACATCTTCAGATAGCCTTTCACGATCCAGCACCCAGCCCCAAGTTCATTTCTGACCTTGCTACAACCTCTCAGTGTATTCTTTAATTTGCCTTCACAACCCTATCAATTAGTGGGTAATATTTTGTCTGTGTAGTTATGTGTTTAAAGAAGCACTTTCTTCATTAAAATTCAGCTCCTCAGAGGCAGACAACGTGTCTGTCTATACAGCTGTTTGTCCCCAACACCTTGCCCAGGACCTGGGAAGTATCGAGTCCTCTATAAATACACTTTCAATACATTTACTTTGTACGTGTTTTCCTTTTCCCCTGATTAAACTTACAAGACCTCTTTCTATCCTCCCTCCTTCCCTTCTTCCTGCCTTTCCTATCTCTTGCTGTCTCTCCTCTCTTGTTCTTTCTTTCTATTGAAGAAAGAATTATTGGAATTATCTGTTAATGCTGTTTTATGAGTTTTAAACCAGTATTTTCTGCTTTTATCAGCATTATTTCCTTCATCTAATTTTCTTAGGTATATTCTTTATTTTAGTTTGTTAGCTCTCAGGCCCATTTGCCAGCTCTCTCTTCCTCCCACCTGCTTTAGCTAGACTGAGCCTGCACTTTTCCTGAAGAGACAGAGCTGTGTCACTTCATCACTCTTTTGGCACCCGTTGTTTTCTCTGTGGGATATGCCCTTCGTTTACTAATCTAACAAATATTTAATGGCTACCTCCCCACCTTGTCCACTGAACTACTAATTATTTAAGATCCAGCTCAGCTGTTCCTTGACTGTAACGCTTTCCTGCCTCCACCCCACTGAGTTCATCCGCTGCTCTGTGCCACACCCGTACCTGGAGTGGACATCCGTTATAGTACTTACGTTGCATTGTAACACTTTATTCATACTCCATCCTCCCCACTGACCTCTGAGCTCCACGATGACAGTGTCTGACCTCTGTGTCTATTTTGGGGGAGTTTGAGATTCTGGAGGAAAGGGACACACATAATTAGTATGGCTCTCTCTGCAGCCTCATCCTCTTAATAACTAAAGAGACCTTCCAGAAAAAAATAAGTAGATTAAGTCAACAGGAAAATAGGCAAGGAGATGAATAGACAGAAAAAAATACTGGGTCATGGATCACGTACATTTTCAGCTTGATTATAATACCGACGGAAATTTTTTTATTGGAGACAAGAAGAAAAACCAGGGAGGGACAACTACAAATATAAATTTGATGTAGATAAGAGCGATTTTGAGAAAATTCACACTGGAGGGACTTGGTCCTCATAGAATACGATTTTGCCAAGTTTGGCAGTTGGGGTGGAATATGGACCTCGATCAGAGTGGAACAGGTTTGGAGTACTTTAAGCATATGTTGTGGTCAACCAGTGAAGGATTGAGGATGTTAGAACCATCAAAGGGCCAACTAGATAAAGAGCAAATAACTCTTGTGATTTTACTCAGTGTGGCCTGACATGCTAGATATTGAGGCGGGTATTGAGGGGATAATTCAGACACATTTTCCCCTTCCTTACTGCCTATCTCTAGCCTTTCTGGGAGGAAACACACATCTTGGTGTTGCTTTCTTTAAAACAAGAGAAAAGAGTCAAAACAGTTAATCTCACACGCTTCCTGTGAAAGGGAAAAGGCAGCACGAGCTGGTGTAGGAGGAGACCTTGGGAGCAGAGCCAAAGTAGAGGATTTTCCCAGTGGGTCCCCATAATGATGCTCTTGGAGGAGGAGAGACTCAGAGTCACCCAAACGTCCAAGGCAAGGCCAGGCCCATGAAGGACTCAAGTGGATGGAAGTGATGGTCGCATCCCGTGAGGAGCCCAAGGAAGGACAGCCAGAAGATAAGGGGTGGAGGTGGCCCTGAGGTTAATGACAGGAGAAGACATAAGAAGGACAAAGGTACAGGGGCCAACGGTCAAGGTTGGAAACTTCAGCAACTAAGATGGTGGTGTCATAAACAGAAAAGAAAGACGCAGAGAGAAAAGCAAACCTGCACTGGGAATAAGGAATCGGCGGAACTAGTCTGCCTGAGACTATCAGGACACGGCTTCTTCAACTGCGGGTGCGAGAAGCTGGGAAAATCAGAGAGGGGATAGCAACCCTGACCACCTTCAAATTCCAATTTAACAGACACCCAAGCTCCATCTTCTTCCTAAGACAGCACATCAGTGCCTCTGTATCCTTAACTGTGCATCTGGAAAATCAGATTCTAAGGCAGCCATCACGGTGGCCGACGTGGATCGTCTATAGTAATCACTCAACAGCTTTGGTCTTGGGTATTCTCAAATACTTGCCGTTTCTTTCCTCCACCTCTGCACTTCTGTTAGCAACATTAACAGTTGGAAAGATTTTATTTTATTTTATTTTATTTTTTGAGGAAGATTGGCCCTGAGCTAACACCTATGTCCGTCTTCCTCTACTTTATATGTGGGATGCGTGCCTCAGCATGGCTTGATGAGAGCTGGGTAGGTCTGTGCCCAGGGTCCAAACTGGCAAACCCCAGGCCACCGAAGTGGTGTGTGAGAACTTAAACGCTGCATCATTGGGCGGGCCCTGAGATTTAAATCCTTCCCTGTGAGTTACTGCACACGTGCCAAGTAGATGCTCAATGGTCACCTCGTTCACTCACCATCTGCCAACTTTGTAGGATGTGTGAGTTGAGTTCATGCCTCAAGAAAATGTCACAATTGTTGAATCTCAAGAGTCACCTCCAGATAATCTAAATTTTAAGTATTGAATGTGTAAATGACAAGGGACTGGTGTTTAAAAACATTTGCATAGGAACTCAATTCAAAACCATCCTGTGGGGCTCAGGCCATTTAGTCAATGTCTCCAGAGGCTCTGGCTCTTCAAACATGAATTCCTCCTGTTTCATTAGTTTGTGCTATTGCTGTGGCTCCCAAGGGCTTAGATTTGGGAGAAGAGACTTAACCATGGTATTGAGCTTTCAACTGTGTAGGAAATAAACTCAGAAACACCCATCCTTAACCAAATTTGTTTCACTTCAGGGAAAGAACAGATATGGGGTTCTTAAAAATTAACGAGTGGCATTTATATTGAATTTTAGATTAAATGATTTTACTAAAGCCTCTAAAAAATACCCCTTTTTAGCAGGTCAAAGAGCTCTGCTTCAGAAATGACAGCACAGCCTCCCGGTGAACTGCTTGTGTGCAGTGTCTCTTTTTCTTCTTCCCCTTCCACCTCCTAGAGAAGCTCTTCAGGAGCCTCAGACGGGGGGCTGCTGTGTGGCCAGTTCCAGGGGGACTATTCACATCCGAGTCCACTCATGTGACTCTCCATCACTGTTAGAGGTGCAGGGGTCACAGAGAAAACTTGTCCTCGCTGTGTAAATACACAGACAGACCTCTTAAAGAAAGCTTTCTCAGTGTCTTAGGTCAGGCTTCCGAGAAGCAGGGCCTGAGACAGTGATTCTGGTGAAAAGGATTCATTGGAGGAGGGCTCTCTGGAGGGGGTGCAGTGTGAGGGAAGCAGCAGACAGGACAAGAAAACTAAGCAAAGGGGCGGTCTCAGCTGGAGACTAACTTCTCCCTCGTATCCTGGAAAACTGGTCCATCTCAAGGCCAGGCAGTTGGCCTTTTTACCCCAGTCGACTGTTGGCCACTGACTGTCCCCTGTGGCCAGGAGTAACTCTTAGGCAAGGCAGCTCCATTTTAGCAATGAACATTCACAGCAACTGAGGAACAAGTGTGTCACCAGTGAAGGGGACCCGGGTAGGGCACCAGGAGCATGCACTACACTTGGGGAGGGAAAAAAAGATCAGAAAAGCAGAGAAGGCCTCTCCAAGCAAGCAGCTTACAAGCTCATAAGAACAATAAGAAAGAACAAGGATAAATAAGAGACTTAGAGGAGAAGCAGGGAGAATGGTGTCTCAGGCAAAGGGAACAGCATAGGCAATGGCCCTGGGGTAGAGAAGAGAATGTTGGCCTCCTTTTCTCGTCATTCAAGGTGCTCTGGCCTCCTGATTCTGGGTTTGAGGGAAAGAGTGTAGTGGCTTTTCCATAAGGCAAATACAGGGCAGGCAAACAGTTTTGTACTTTGGGCTTCTGCAAAGGACCCAACAGATTTGTGGAAGAAAATATTATGAGTAAGCAGTGGGCCCTGAAGATTGCTAGTCTCACCTTTCATGTGCTCTAATCTCTGTACTAAAGTATATTTATCTGCTTTAGGGAGATGAGTGAAGGTTCTTGTGTCTGGAAACTTTACAAATGCCCAGCAAGGCCAAGCTCTTGGTCTGCAAGGGTATAGGGTCTTCTCATTGGGGTAACATGGTCCATCCTTCCCAGGTATGTCATCCTATGTGTCATATCCTAATGATTTACAGCACCCAAAACTCAATGAAGATAGACAGATGATAGATAGATAGATAAACAGAGAGAGAGATAAAAAGAAGACCAGGGGGTTAAAATACACTTTTTTGGCACATAAATTCTGAGATATCAAAACCTTCCTATGAAATGAAACACGAAGTGTCCAGTGAAATGAAAACATTGGAAAGAATGAACCCTCGTGTCTCCTCAATGTCCCAGCATGAGGTGTTTTGATGTTCTGTACTCAACTCGGCAGGAACTGAGCAAGGCAAATGGCTGCAAAGGGCAACTGGTAGGAGAGAAGGGCCTCAATTTTGCTTGCAGATAAAAGGTCTTCAGTGCATATTTATTGGCTAGTGAATGAAGATCCCATTGAGGGCTCGCCTCTCACCAGCCACTCTAAAGACAAGCTGAAAAGAGAAAAAACAAGGAAAAAGATAGGATAACAAAGGAGGATAGGAGGTTAAGATGAGCTTAGAGCTCCAAATTTAAACATGAGATAAGAGAATTCCAATTAAAGATGGTGAGTTGAGGGGCTGTCCTGGTGGTATAGTGGTTAAGTTCGTGTGCTCTGCTTCGGTGGCATGGGGTTCCCCGGTTCAGATCCCCAGTGCAGACCTACACACTGCTCACCAAGCCATGCTGTGGTGGCATCCCGTACAAAATAAAATAGAGGAAGCTTGGCAAAGATGTTAGCTCAGTGACAATCTTCCTCAAACAAAAAGAAGAAGATTGGCAATAGATGTTAGTTCAGGGACAATCTTCTTCACCAAAAATTAAAAAAAAGAAGATGGCGAATTGAGAACTGACATATACTAAGGTCCTTAAAAATGTCAACCCCCATCCACCATATTTTAGAAAGAATTAATCCATAATAATACTCGAAAACTAGAAAGGCAGACAGCTGGAGGACATTTTGAAGAAATTCTAGAAGACAGAAAGCAAATGGATCTGATTGATGAAAACAGATCACAGAAAGATGTAGCCCAAAATGCTGGAGAAAAGAGGGACCCTTCCCACAGGGGTCCTTTGAGAGCTCCAAGCTCCTAGTCCACAAACATACAGGACAGAGATGAGACAGGGTACAAGCATGAAGGTAACTGGTAAATTAATCACAGGCCAAGTCCTCCCCCAAGGTCTGTTTCCTGACTGTACATCTTTCCCCTCTCTCTCTCCTTTGCTCACCAACTCCAGCTTCATTGACCTTCTTTATGTCCTTTTAACACGTGAAGTACGTCCCCAGCTCACTGTCTGTGCACTTGCTGTTTCCTGTCTGGAACAATCTACCTCTAGACTTTCACATGCTTGGCTCTTCCTTGTCATTCAGGTCTTGGCTCAAACTTCAGCTGCTCAAAGCATTCTTCTCTGGCCACAGTATCTAAATTAGATCCCAACCCCAGCCAGTCACATCACCCTGCTTGCTTTCCTTCAGAGCATGTGTGAATCTCTGAAGTTGTCTGACTCATTTATTTCTTTGTTTCTCATCACCTGAGGACAGAGGCCTTATCTACTTTGTTTATCAGAGTATCGACAGTAGCTGGAACATCAATACAATGAGGTGTTTGTATCAGTTAGCTCTCGCTGGGTGATAAAGTACCCCAAAACTTAGTGGTCTCAAACAACAACTCCTTATTTT